AGCAAGGAGCCCGATGCGGGGCTTGATCCCAGGACCCCAGGATCATGACCTGAGCTGAAGGCAGATGCTTAACTGACTGAGCTCCCCAGGCGCCCCTTGGCTAATAGTCTTGTCATCACTTGAGTCATCAGGCAATAGACTTGGGGCTGAGGCAGGGAGGGGGTCATATGGGACAGCCCCGGGGTTCCTCCCTGAATTTTATCCCCCTCTCCTCGCTGGAGTAAGGTGAGCTTTGGCTTTCATAGACCTGAAGTGATTAGACATTCACGGGCACAGTGTGATTTTGGGAGCTCTGAGAAAGTCCTAAGACCCCACCCACCCTCAGCCCCTTGTCCTTGCCAATGTCTCACAGGGACTTTTTTTTTTTTTAAGGTAAAATTTACAAGCAGTGAGATTCACAGATCTTATGCTTACTTAAGTTTTAAGTTTTGACAAATATATACTTCCACGTGGCCAAAGCATAGTGGAGATGTAGAAATGTTCCTCCGGAAAGTTTCCTCCCCCAGCTTCCTGCCAGAAGCAATAGCTGTGTTCTGATTTCTGTGGAAAGAGCTAACTCTTGTTGAGGTTCTTCTTATATAACACTACATCCCTCGAACAGCAATCTTAGAATCATGCCCTGAAATGCAACCCACCCCCAAGATGTTATTAGTTATTTACCACTTAGTATGAAGGGAGGATTAGAATAAAGCTATTTTGGAAAAAGAGGGAAGTGAGGATGCAAGGAACTTCAGTATTTGGTTCTTGAAGTATGTTCAGAAGCCCTGCACTGCTGTACCCATATCACGTAGGTGCTTTTGAGGGATGCCGAGTGTGTGCATTTTTTTTTTAGTTTTTTTTGAGTAGTCTCCACACCCAATGTGGAGCCCAACAGAGGGCTCGAACTCACCACCGTGAGATCAAGACGTGAGCTGAGATCAAGAGTCAGGCACTTAACTGACTGAGCCACCCAGGCACCCCTAGATTTTATTTTTGAGCAATCTCTGTACCCAGGGTGGGGCTCAAACTTACAACCCCGACATCAAGAGTCACACACTCTACCCACTGAGCCAGCCAGGCAGCCCCATAAAACTGCCCATAATTTTTATTTCCAGCCCTTATTCTGCTTGGCTGTAGAAAACTTAGTCTTTACAATTTAAGGTAAACTGAGTCAGTTCAGTATTAATTCATGTACTTCAGGATTCTACTGAGGTCAGGGTTCTTTGGCATTCTCAGTTTATAACTGCCTCATGATGGTTGTTTTGAACAGCTTTTGAGTGTTTCACTGTTAGGATATTTGTGACCGTGAGCTAACTTGCCTCGTGTTCCAGAGGCCCCCTAAGTGCATCTTGGCATCTCCCCCAGTGCTTCTCACGGTGCTCTGAGCACCAGCCCACACTTCTATACTGGAAGTGTGCACGGTGAGCTAGACGGTGAGGTTGTAACTCAGCAAAACTTGTGGACAACAGAGTAAGATCACTGTATTTGAATTTATGTTTTAGCCCCAAGCTGACGGTAACGTGGTCAAAGGGACAGAACCACGGGTTAGGAGTCTTGAGAGCGGAGTCTTTACTGTAACTTGGTGTGTCTCGGCAAGGTGCTTCACCCGTCGCGACCTCAATTTCCCCGTGAATACAGTTGCTGGGGGGAGCGGGGCAGGAATTGGGCTAGGGGATGCCAGGTGCTTTCCTACCTTCTGTTTGCAACGTGAGTTTAAAAATAATCTATGATACAAAAATATTTATTCACAGGCCACCTGGGTGGCTCAGTTAAGCGTCTGCCTTCGGCTCAGGTCATGATCCCGGGGTCCTGGGATCGAGCCCTGCATCGGGCTCCCAGCTTGACTGGAAGCCTGCTTCTCCCACTCCCCCTGCTTTTGTTCCTGCTCTCGCTATCTCTGTCTCTGTCAAATAAATAAATAAAATCTTTAAAAAAAATATTTATTCACCTGCCCAAACACCTACTTCTTTATGCCATTTAGTAATTTGATTTTTTTAACTTTATGAGTGAAAATTAATAAGTAGTGTAGAATCAATATTGAGCAACACGATGGGCCTGTCTTAAGAAAAACCATTTAAGTAAACGTATTCATTGTGTGCCCTCTTCCTAGATTGTTTGTTTTCCCTAGACATAATGTCACGTGGAGATGATCAGCAATCGCAGGCTCTTGCCAAACCTACTTTCAGTGACGTACAAGCCTCTGCATTAGTGGAATCGGTATTTGGGTTAAAAGTTTCCAAGATCCAGCCGCTTCCTAGCTATGATGACCAAAACTTTCATGTGTGCATTTCAAGTACCAAAGACACTACAGATGGGCCAACTGAGTACGTTCTCAAAATAAGCAACACCGAGTCCAGCAAAACTCCAGAGCTGATTGAAGTGCAGAATCACGTCACCATGTTTCTGAGAGCTGCTGGGTTCCCAACAGCCTCTGTGCGTCACACTACGGGAGGCAACCTCACCTGCCTCGTGTCCGTAGGTAAGAGCCCACCAGCTCGCTGGTCATCCCTGTCCACATACATTACTGCATTTTGGCTACAAGTAGAAATACCGAGAATGGGTTCGTAGCTCCAAGTGTAGAAGTGGCTATTTCTTCAGTGGCCCTGGGGAAGCACAGCATCCCCAAAGTGCAGACTGGGGGCTCTGATTCAGAAGTAGTTGGAGCCCGGATCTGCTGTGACTCTTCCCCTTAGAAAGGACTTGATCGGGGAGCCTGGGTGGCTCAGGTCGGGATCTCAGGGTCTTGATCTCGGGGTCATGGGATCTAGCCCCATGTCAGGCTCCACGCTCGGCGCTCCGCTGGGAGTCCACTTGAGATTCTCTCTCCCCCTCTCCCTCTGCCCCTCCTGCACGCATTCTCTCTCGCTCTCTCTCTCAGATAAATTAAAAAGAAAGAAAGGACTTGATGAATGCGTCACTAAGGGCACATGGAGTTAGGGGAAGTTTTTTTTTTTTAATAGAAAAATAATTAAACATTTTTACTCATCAGACCAGCTGTGTATTTTGGTGCTGTGGAATAGCGGAAGGAACAGAGAACTAGAAATCAGGGATTTCCGATCCCAGCTCTGTCATTTTTGTGTGGGTGACCTGGGGCACACTGCTTCACATTCCTAAGGCTGCACTCCTCATCTGTGGGACTCAGACCCTTTTCCCTCTAAATGCTAACATTCTAAGATGAGCCTGCAGTCAATGCAGAGCAGTCCTGGAATATTTTAAAGGCTGGAGATCCTGCTGAGCTGGTCACCCATTCTGTCTTGCTCTGCATCACTCTGAACAGCGGGGGCCCACGCCCGTCCCCGAGGAGGAGCTGTGCCCTGTGCCGACCCTCAGGCTTTTCCCAGCTGGCCCCTGCAGGAGCCTCGGAAGCTGTCATTCCTCCTATCACACTGTCCTCAATGGAAACACATGAAAGGCGTCTTAGCCCCATCCTGCAGCAGGCGGTTGATGCTTAGGGCTGCGGCTGCGGTGCTGTTGGTGTGCGCGTGGCCGGCTCCGGTGCCCCGGGGTCCATCCGTCTGTCCGGCCCCGCTTCGTGGAGTCCTGCGGACTCACTGCAGTGAAGCACGTGTATTGCTCTTGTGCTGTGACTTCTGTGATTCCCCGCGGTCATAATGACCAAGGCAGGACAGCCCCCGGCCGTTTTCCTGAGAGCACTTGACAGGATGTGCTTGCATCCATCCAGATGGCGGCTCTGGAGTCCCAGGCTACCTGGTGAGGCTGCTGTCATACCTCCCGGGAAGACCCGTTGCCGAGATCCCCAGCAGCCCCCAGCTGCTGTATGAGATCGGGAGGCTCGCTGGCAAACTGGATGAGACCCTGCAGGTAGGACGTGGCAGGCTTAGCTTGTTTATAAGAATTGTTTATTTGTTTAATTTTGATTTATTTTACTTAACGAATAAACCCAGGGTGAGACTCCCCTCTTATGTCTGGTGCCTCCTGAGGGGTGTTGGGAAGGGAATAGGGCCGCCGATGCGAGAATTTCACGGCTGCGAGGCCTCTTTCTGGCCAGGCCTGCACTTCACTGGTGTCTTGGCAGCTTGCCCACGTTTCTAGACAGCCCTGGTGTTCTCTGGGCTGCTCCCTGAAAGCAGCCTGTACTCACAGTCACCCAGCGAGGTGTGGTGAAGCCGCAGCTCCGTTACACGTGGGGCAGAATGGCGCATGTTCAGGTGTTCTGTTCTGCAGAAGCGACACCGTGGATGACAGGTGTTTCCCTGGAGCCGCCCACAACTCCCCTCTGACGTGCCAGGCTCTGGGGGAAGAGTAATGGTCCCCCGCCCTAGCTGACACACACCACATGCTAAGAAGTAGTTTGTATGAGCAAAACACTTCCAGTCCCTCGTGAATCCCGCTCATTCCACACTTCACACCACTCTGGCCCATCGGCCCTCCGTCCTTGCCTTGATTGTCGTCACTCACCACCGTAGCCTCCCTGCAATCATGCTTTTCCTCTGATTTATTCTTGATCCGACCACGGGAACCCATCAGTGGCTTCTCGCTGCTTCAGCGTGGAGGCCAAGGTCCCTGTGTGAGGCCCCGCGAGCCCCGTCCTGCCTGTGCCCCCTCAGGGCCTCCATCCATCCGTCCATCTGTGCCCCCCTCCACCGCTTCTCCCCGTCCCCCCTTGTGGATCCCCGATGGGGCCATTCTGTCTCACGCACCTGTGCACGAGCCATTTTCTGAGCCACCGGGACCTTTCCCCGCTTAGCCAAACTCCGCGTGTCCTTCAGCCCATGGCTCGGGCATCACCCCCTCTGTGAAATGTCCCCTGGCCCCCTCTCTCCCCATGCTCCTCCTCTTGTGACTTCTGAACTTGGACCTCCTGTCTCTGGCCTTACTGAGCTGTGTGCGAGTTATCTAGTGCTGTGTAACAAGCCACTCCAAAACTTATGGCTTCAAACACGGATTTATTTCTCATGTCTCTGTGGGTTGAGTGGATCTGCTCTGTGGGGTGTGGATTGGGGTCACGCATGCAGCCACACTCAGCGGGAAGCTCAGCCCCGGGGGTAGGGGGCTGCGGTTCTTCGCTGCGTGGCCTCTCATCCTCCAGGATGCCCCAACGTCCTCACCATGTGGCTGCTGGTTTCCAAGAGAGCGAGACAGGGAGCAAAATTATAGATGTACAGTGGTCAGATTATAAGACACATTATCATGTATGATACTAAGGAGTTTAGGGAGCTTGGAGGGTTTTTATTTTTATTTTCCTTTTTTTTTTTAGTTTAAATTCAATTAATTAACATATAATGTATTATTAGTTTCAGAGGTAGAGATCAGTGATTCACCAGTCTTATATAACATCCAGTGCTCATGACATCACATGCCCTAGCCTGGAGAGTTTTTAAACAGGCAAAGATTTCGACTTTATAGCACTCTGTGGACCGATACGGTGAACAGATTGGCAGAGAGCCAGACTGGATGGAATGCATCTAGGAAGCGAATGAATAATCAGATAAAAGCTGATTGAAGGCTTGAACCAAGGAAAGGTTCAAGATATATTTCGGAGACAGAGCCAACCAAATTTGGTGATTGATTTAATGTTCAGCAATGGGAGAAGGACGGGCTGAGCAGGGCATGGATTCTAACCTGTGTCTCCTGGGACACAGCCCGGCGCACAGGGAGGCAGCCCTCTCCCCCCACATCAATCCCGAGGTAGCCTCCGTAGCCTAGAACAAAGGGCAGAGGGATGAAGAGGGGGAGTATCAGAGATGGGGACTGGCAGGGGCTGAGATCTGTGGAGGCGAAGGCTTCATGCCCTGGAGGAAAGCTCACCAGCCTCCACTGACTTCACGCTGTGACCCCCTCATGGCTACCTGGGGTCAGCCTGCCCACAGTTTCTTCCCCTCTGGCTGGGATTTTAGAAGATTAAGGTGGAGCCTTAGCAGGAGCTGAGAGAAGGGGTGGGGCGGGGGAAAACCGCAGCAGTAAGATTTAGGAGATTGTTATGCTATCTGTCCCAGAGACTTGATGTTTACAATCTCTGGGGAACGAGTGGAGGAAATTCTTGGCGGCTCTCCGTCACAGTCTGTGTACTGGAAGTGTTTCTCGTAGGCGGGGTATGTGAGGTCTTGCTGGTTCATCCAGTCTGACCGTCTGTGCCCTTCCTCTGGGGTGTTTACATTTAACGTAGTAGTGATGACACCCTCCGACGTTAGGCTTGGTGCACCGAGGGCCAGAAGCTGCAACGTCCACATTCAACAAACCTGTGCGGGCACCCATTACGTCTGAGGTCTTTATTTATTGCATGTCTTCGTTTATCAAAGATGGCTGCGAGGCTGCTGTTGATGCTCGGATTTTACTGTTCAGGAGACAGATCCGAGATAGTAAGCAGTAGAGCCTGCTGAAACCTGGCCGTGTCTGACCCCCGGGCTGGACCCGGGTCCTCTCCCACTTCTCCTTCCGGAGCCCGGACCCTCTCCTGCGGGCTGCATGGCTAACAGCACCACCATTTTAGGAGTGGACCCAGAACCTTCCCTGGGTGGACCGGTGCTCCCTCAGAAGCCTGACAATAGCGTTCTATTGTACTTTCTTTAAAAAATGAGAGTAAGGTATGTGCTATGGTGAGCACTGTGAATTGTACAAGACTGATGAATCACGGATCTGTACTTCTGAAACAAATAATGCAATATACGTTAAGGAAAAAAAAGAAGAAGAAGAAGAAGATAGCAGGAGGGGAAGAATGAAGGGGAGTAAGTCGGAGGGGGAGACGAACCATGAGAGACGATGGGCTCTGAAAAACAAACTGAGGGTTCTAGAGGGGAGGGGGTGGGGGGATGGGTTGGCCTGGTGATGGGTATTAAAGAGGGCACGTTCTGCGTGGAGCACTGGGTGTTATGCACAAACAATGAATCATGGAACACTGCATCAAAAACTAATGATGTAAAGTATGGTGGTTAACATAACAATAAAAAAAAAATAAAAAAAAAATGAGAGTAAGAAATACGCATGGTAAAGCTTTCCAACAGTGCGAATGGGGTGAACAGTTTTCTCTTCCCTGTCATGTCCACTCTTACACCCCCAAAGCACAGCTTCTAGCAGCGTTTTTGTGCTTACTGTGCGGAATGTTCCTGTGACCTGGACTGGCCCTCAACGCGCCGTGTGGTCAGGAGGGTCAAGCCGTGTCACATGAGGATAACCTGGCTCTGGGAAGGTTGACTCTGCAGAGGAGGAGACTCCGGGGGGCAGGAGGGCCATCTGGGACTATGTGGCGGCGGTCAGGTGGGAGACGGCCCGAGGTCACCGCTGGAACCCGGGGCACGGACGCTGGTGCAGAGACAGAGCTCAGCTCAGCAAAAGGAAGCTCGCAGAGCCGTTCAGGCGTAAAAAAAGCACCCCCTGCACGAGGTGCTCCAACCAAGGCTACTTAGCAAGGACGTGGTGGTGATAGTGGGGGTCTGGAGAATGGATGTTAAAGTCAGTTGAGAGGAACATCTTTAAAGAAGTAGAATAAAATACAGAACACCAGAATACATCATGTGTGATAGTCCACGTACTGTTTTCAGAGACTTGTTTTGTCTTTGTATGTGTTGCCTGTCTCCTGGGTTGTCCCGTAACGTATCTTTCTTGCATGAGAAGTCATGTCCAACAAACTGAAAGGTGCCCTGCTGGGTGGCCGCCCAGGCGCCTTCAGGTGCTCCCTCAGCCCATGGTGAGTACTGACCCACCTGATCATCCAGAACTGAGTTTCCCCTTCTGTGCAGTGATGGTCAGAGCCATTTCGAACTCCGGATAGAGTGGCCCAAGTCTAAAGGCCCTGGCCATTCTAGAATTTTCTATCCAGAGAACATTCATTTATTCAGCAACTATGGCTTGAGCAGTGAGTTTTGTGAACCAGGCACCATGGTAGGTGCAGGGGGCAAACAGACAGACCAAACACGGAGCGCCAGCCCTTCATGGGACTTACGTTCCAGTGAGGACAGACGGTAAGGCCAGAGGGTGAACTCTGGAGAGTGTTAGCAACACGTGCTAAGAGCTTGGGAAGAAAACACCAGCGGAGGAGAGGGATATGAAGAGCTGGAGAGAGGGCTGAAGCTTCAGACGGAGTGGCCATGGGGTGGAGGTGTGCAGGCGTGGTCTTGAATGGCAGGGAGGCCACTGTGGTTGCAGGAGAGTCCTCGAACATAGTGGAAGGTGAGGGCAGACAGGTAACGAGGGGCAGGCCGTCTGGGGAGAACAGAGTTCTTTCTGACTGTCTCCAACTCCTGCCGGGGCTCCGGGGAAGCCCCATCACACAGCTGCGAGGACCAAGCGAGATGGGGACGTGCTCTCAGAGCGACGAGGTCCTGCTCAGATGTGGTCAGCACCATCCTGTGGGGGGTTAACGGAGCACGTCGGACCAGGCCTGGGAGGGCGGTCTCTCGCCCACCCAGCTGTCCCTCGTGGTCGCTCTAACTGTCCAGACTCTGAGAGTTTCTTGTCTTTGATTTAGAAATTCCATCACCCACAGTTAAGTAGTCTTCGTCGGGAGAACTTCATTTGGAATCTGAAAAACGTTCCTCTTCTGGAGAAATATCTGGATGCCTTGGGCCAGAACCGAAACCGGGAGATTGTCGTACAGGTCATTCAGCTGTTCAAGGATGAAATCCTGACCAAACTAAGTCATTTTCGAGAGTGTGAGTATCCCCCTGATCAAGTAAGTGTTTTTCTTGCTATTTAAATTGTCAAGTTTCAGAGCATCAGAAAAGTGTGAAGATACAACTTAGTTTTACCAAGTCTTACAATTTTGCCGTGTTTGCTCCTGCTGGTTTTTAAAGAATAGTACTTTTACTTCCCGTAAAATTTCCACATCTGAAATTTTCTCTAAACTTTACATGATCACACCTCTTTCCTCCCTACGGAATTTGCACATGTTCTAATAGCGTTACTACATACATGTTCATAAATTATGTGCAGTAACGTTTTGCATGTTTTCCATTGTCAGATGGTATCAGATGGTGTTACTGTTCCGCAACCTGCTTTTCTTGCTCAACATGTTTTCCGGATTGATCCATGTCATATATATAGTTCCAGCTCATTTAGTTCATTATTTTAACTGCTGAATAGTATTCCACTGCATGTATGTACCATAGTTTATTTGAATGTACTGTGCTATTTTTGGTCTCTTCTCTTGTTGATAGAATTTTAGGTTGGTTCCCATTTTTTTTGCTACATCACGGGGCTCTGGTGAGCACGTTAGTGCGTATCTCCTTACAGACATGGACGACAGTTTCTCCAGGGTGGAAGCAGCCTTTGACAGGGCATGAAGCACGGGTCAAAGGACAAGGAAGGAAGGGGCACTTGCAGCAAGCCTGACGTAGGCAGCAAGCTCCCTCTTGCCTCTGCTTTCAATCGTGCTCAGCTCCGGCTGCCGTCACAAAGTATGGGTACGGAGGGGTGGCTTAAACAGCAGGCACAGACTTCCCATGGTTCTGGAGGCTGGAAATCTGAGGTCAAGGTGCCAGCACGGTCAGGTTCTTTCCCAGGCTCCAGCCACCTTCTCTCTGCGTCCTCATGTGGTGGACAGAGAGCGCCGTGCTCTCTGGTGTCTCTTCTTAGAAGGGCACTAATCCCATCATGAGGGCCTCACCCCCCCAAAGACCCCATCTCCAAATACCACCACACTGCGGGGGGGTGGGCTTCAACATATGAATTGTTGGGGGGGCAGTCACAATTCCATCCATAGCATTTACTTTGTGTAAACATAATGCAAGGTGGTAGCATAAAAACAGAGTTGATTTCCCCCCTCAAATCTGCACCCCCAACTCATCTTCGTCTCATTAAAATGGTATCCACCATTCACCTTATTGATCTAGCCCAAAACCTGGGAGTTGGCAGCCTTAACTTGGTTCTTTCTTGCACACCTCGCATGCAGTCAAATTCTACCAGTTCTAATTTTACTTTCTCCCACCCTTACTACTACCGCTTGGCCCAGGCTGCCCTCATCTCTCATCTGGGTTATTGGGTATATGATGTCATGCGTGCCGAGGTAGGACTGCGAGGTCATAGGACACGTCTACACCCAGCATTACAATATGACGTCAGTTTTCCAAAGCGGTTGCATGACCGTACGCTCCGCTAGCAGAGGGTGAAAGTTTTCGCTGCTCTACACCCTGCTGTCATCAGACGTCTTAACTCCCACCAATCCGATGTGAACGTAGTGACTTCTCACTGTGGTTTTACTCTACATTTCCCTATTTACTGGCCATTTGGATAAACTCATTTGTGAGGTGCCTAGTCAAGTCTTTTGTCAGTTTTTCTACTGGGATTTTTTCTCATTGATTTTAGAAGTTCAAAATATTCTCTGGATACAAATCCTTCGTTAGTTATATGTGTTGCAAATATTTTGTCCCATTCTGTGGCTTGCCTTTTCACTCTCTTTATGATGTGTTTTGATGAACAGTCTTTAATTTCTTGGTTTCAAACATATCCATCTTCTGTTCCATGGTTAGTGTTTTGTGCCTTGTGTAGACATTTTTCCCTACCTTGTGGTCAGGAAGATATTCTCCTATGTTATCTTACTAAAGTGTTATAGTTTTTGCCTTTCATTATAGGTCTATAAGCCATCTGAAATTTACATATGGTGTAAATTTTTCTTATATGGCTGGTAACTTTTTCACCAACATTTATTAAAAAGCTATCTTTTCTCCCTTTGTTTTGCAGTACCACCTCTGCTATAAATCAGATCTTTTGGGGGCTCTCTATTTTATTCCCCTGTTCTATTTACCTGTCTCTGTTCCCAAACCACACTGTGTATCAGCTAGGCAAGGTTCTGCTGCAGTAACAAATAGCCCCCAAATTATTGTGGATTGCAATAGCAAAGATTTAGTTCCAAGTCCAGCTGTATGTCCGGCATGGATTGGTCAGGGTTCTGTTCTATGTATTCTCACTTTGGGATCCAGATGTGTAGAACTTTCACCAACTGGAGTGTTGCTGTAGTTGGGGAAAGAGAATGTAAGACACTGTACACCTTCTCTTATGTCTCCGCCCTGAAGTGATGTCACTTCTGTTCATATGTCAAGGGCCAAAAAAAGTCACATGGCCTACGCTTTTATTTTTGTTTCATAGCCAAGTTTGTTTAGATTTATTCATATGTTGGTTTCATATCTTTCAGTACCTCAAGCTTTCTGCCTGGTGTCATTTTTTTCCTGCCTGGAATACATCCCTTAGAATGTCCTCTAGTGCAGTTCTCTAATGGTTAATTCTCTCTGATTTTATGTGTCTGAAAATGTTTTTATTTTCTCTTCATTTTTGAAGAATATTTTCACAGCCTATAGGACTTTGGGTTTCAGGGTTTTTGGGTTTTAGGGTTCCAGTGTCTCCTAGCTTCTCCATTCCTGCTGAGAGGTCAGCTGTCGGTCTGCAGCTCCTTTGAAGACCACCTGCCTTTTCCCTTTGGGATTCTTGTAGGATGTTCTCTTTTTCTTAAATGATTTTTTTTTTTTCTTAATATGCTTGGGTTTCTAAAATCTGTGTGTGGATATTGTCTTCCATCAGTTATGGGAAATTCTTGCCAGCCCCATTCTCCTTCCTCCTTTTGAGCTCCAGTTAAGTTCATGTTTGGTCTTCTCACTGAATCTTCTGTCTTTTCTCATCTGTGTGTCTGTGTTTGTGTGTGTGTTTCATTTTTTCTGTGCCCATGCTGCATTTTGGATAATTCTCTAACATGTCGTCTAGTTTATTGATTCTTTCTTAAGTTATGTCTAGTCTGTTATACCCATCCACTGCATTCTTAATTTCTTTCATTATGTTTTCCAGTTTTAGTTCTTTTTTAATTGAAAAAAAATTTTAAATTATTTTTTGTTTTAATTCCAGTATAGTTAACATGCAGTGTCATATTTGTTTCAGGTGTACAAGATAGTGATTCACCATTTCCGTGTATTACTCAGCGCTCATCACCATAAGTGCACTCATTAATCCCCATCACCTGCTTCATAGTAGTTCTTCTGGTTATTTTTCTAGAATCATTGCCTTGTGTCCAGAGAACATACTATATATCAGCACACAAGGAAATAAGGCACCATGAGCAAGAGCCAAAAGACACTAACCTGAGGGGCCCCTGGCTGCCTCAGTCTGTAGAACATGCGACTCTTGATTTTGGGGTTGTAAGTTCAAGCCCCATGTTGGGTGTAGAGTTTACTTAAAAAAGAATAAAAAAATCTTAAAAAAAAAGAAACTAACTCAAAACTGAACTAAAGACTTTGGTAACTAGAATGACTTGACATAGAATGTATTCACACAGCAGCCCGGTTTTGTATTTGGTTTCAAGGTTCTGCTTTTGTCCTTCTGCCTCTGTGGACCCACAGCAGTCTGAGCAGTGGACTGGGAGCAGATTTGTCATCCTTTTATGAGTTTGGAAGGTCTTCCACTGCCTTTTGCATCATGTAGTGAACCTTCTCCTGCACCCAGCAGGTAGCACTTCTAGTTCCGGTTCTCCCAAAGGGGTAAAGCACATTGCTGACCTGGAGCACAGGAGACAGACCTGTGGCTGCATTCCTATTCTGTGTTTTAGTATATAGATCGATCTTGTTTTTGAGGCTGACTGTATCTTTATTTTCTCTTTTTATTTTCATCATTACTATGTATCAAAGAATGAATTCACTCTGGCATCTTGATCATAACACCTTCTGTTTCTTTAATTCTCAAATTCAACAACTTTTGTCATTTTTTCCCCAGGCATTAACTAGCTCTATCATTTCTTGATAGGCCATTGGACATGTGGATAGAAGCAATAAAATGCTTGCATAAATACAGATTGCATTCACGAAGTAACATATTTCATTGATTCTAAAATTCCATTTGACTGTATAAGATGCACCATTACTTTACCTCTAAGGGAGAAAAAACATTGCCAGTGAAACCATGACATAGCATCAATTGTATAATGCCTCCCAATTTCACAAATGTGTAGTCTAGAATCTGTGGTTTACAATAATGTTCATTGTTTCTGCATGTTACCCACCGTGCTAAATTACTTAAGCATGATTTACACAATCCCAAGTCACATAGAAGAAATCGGCATTATACTCAGAAGTGAATGTTATGGACTTTCTATCACACACTTATCATAAAGTACATGACTAAATGCTTCATGCTTATGGACGCCCTCATCTCTTCCTAATCATTAGCCAGGGTTTTAAATCAGAATTTCTCAGACTGTTCCTGATAGAAGACAGGTGTGGTTTTTTTCCCCAACCCACTGCAGCCTGCTGCATGATCCTACTGTTCATGACAGGTTCATAGCTTGCACCACATACGACTTACCATGTGAATCCAATAACACCAAACTGGTCTATACACTGTTAATGGGATACGTCCACTGATCATGCTCTTAGATGACAAATTGCTATAAACTCTCAATTTCTGTTTTTATCTTGTACACACTAGTAAGAGTTTGTGGACCTGCACTGACCACAGACCCCCACTTTGAGTGGTACTAACTTGAGATATCAGCATCTAATCTAGTAATCAAAAGACTGGGAAAATTCAGAATTATTTGTCATCAGAAATTTATTTTTGGAAATCCTAGGTTAAAATAAAGACACATCTGGCCCATTCTAGGACTCTTTCTTTTTCTTCTTCTTTGTTTTCTTTTTTTAAGATTTTTTTATTTTAAGCAATCTCTACATCCAACATGGGGCTCAAACTCACAACCCCAAGATCAAGAGTTGCATGCTCCACTGACTGAGCCAGCCAGGTGCTCTTAGGACTCTTTGTTTCGTATAATAATATGAACATATGTATATTCTTTTTAAATATTTCTGGTTTGGGGCAGTTCTGCCTCTCCCTTCACTCTGCTAGCAGTCAGAACCAGGTGTTTGCAACGACCACAACCTGCATCATCTGGCCTTATACTGATTAGAAGTGAAAGCAAATACAACCATTGAAATTAACTGCTTTTTCCCCCTTTCAGAGGAAATTCTTTCCTCTCAGGAAGAATAGGGTTTGACTGTACCTCTGACTGCTCATCCCATTTGAGTGGCCATGCCTGAGAAACAGGAAATGGGCAGAGAAGGAGCTGGGCAATTAAACGTTTGTCCATGGCTTGATTTTTCTCCTTGTAGGTATCAATCATGGAGATCTTAATGACCATAATATTTTAGTGGAGTCCAGCAAGTCAGCCTTTGGAGATGCCATATATCAAGTGTCTGGGATTTTGGACTTCGGCGACATGAGCTATGGCTACTATGTGTTTGAAGCGGCCATCACCATCATGTACATGATGATTGAGAGCAAGAGTCCCGTACACGTGGGAGGTCACGTCCTTGCGGGGTTTGAGAGCGTCATCCCACTGACGCCCGTAGAGAGGAGCGCCTTGTTTCTACTCGTGTGCGGTCGCTTTTGCCAGTCCCTCGTCATCGCTGCGTACTCTTGCCAGCTACATCCAGAGAACAAAGACTATCTCATGACTACCGCGAAAACCGGGTGGAAGCACTTGCAGCAGATGTTTGACATGGGCCAGAAGGCTGTGGAAGAAATCTGGTTTGAAACTGCCAGGTCCTACGACTCTGGGGTCTCCATGTGACCCGGGAACCTTCACATGAACTCCGATCATGAAAAACCCAAGGGGACCAAATCTAATTCTACCCAGGATTTCCCTGCACAGTGAGAGATGAACTGATGCAACAGACCAGTGCCCGTGAAACCACAAAGGCCTTCAAGCAATCTCACGACCGCTCTTTAAATTTATGCAAGTGCCCCCTGAGCAGGCACGTCGCTCTGGGGGTCCAGCTTGCCTCGTGTATAAAACATGCAGAAGGATGTTTGGAGTCAGATCGTCTCTCAAGGACTGTTCCAGCCCTGAGCTGAGTCACTGTGCTAAACTTTGAAAGGAACACATGTGTATGGATAGATTCACATATTTTAAAAATTGGGCGTATAACAGGCACCTGGATAACACAGCACAAATTCTGTGAAGCCTCCTCCCGTCGCTCCATTTCTCTAGAACCCCACTGCTCTTGTCTTCGTTATGGCACGTCACTTGGTATCATGGAGTATGTCAGTAGCCTAAGAGGGCAGAGACTACATCAAACTATTTTTTCGTCTCTCATCCCTTTTTTTTATACCTGATACGGCGCTTTCCCCCTGGTTTCAAAGGATGTTTGCAAAATTAAAGTATGCTAAGAGAAAGGTGTGAGAAGATAAGGCACAGACTAAGATACAGACAGTGTTCATAAGAAAAAGTGTTAATGTGCTTGAGAGGGCAGTTGAAACTGGACCTCTAGAGATGGATGCTGGAAGACACTGGGCTTGCGAGGAAGCCAAGAAAGACCTCTGGGCAAGGCCCCCAACTCCTGAGTGAGGTACCTAAACATCACACTTAGTTTTCAGATTGACACTAAGAAAGTCTCTAAAGCAGATATTTTAAAATCGCTCTCATTTATGGTTCTTTTCTTATGAATATGTAATGTTGGTGAACCGTAGCTCACCGTGTACTTGACGTTCATTATACTTCTGTTTCCTTCACTGATTTCTCTTCATGTCTCCCTTCGTGTGATTTATCAAATGGCTCTTTACTTATTCTTGTGGGTTTGTCTGTTCTCTAAGACGTCTCAAGTCTACAAGCCTGGCCATTCAAACACCCTTTCAGTGTTGTCTCTTTCAATCTATGTGAACGACCACTGCTTCTCTGTCTGTGGAGTCGCCTCGTTAGAGGAAATTCAGGTGTAGTTGATAGGGGTTTATGATGAATAACAAAGACACTCCTCTCTCCCCTACCATTCAGGAGATTACAAGGGTTTTAGAGGCTTTGTCCCAGAACCGGGACGAAAACCAAACTGTATTACTTCTTATATCACCGTATTTTACATGCATTATCTCATTTCATCTCCACAACCAACCCCCGAGAGAAGTAATGCAATGATTAATCCCCATTTTCAAATGAGGAATTTACTTACAGAGCCAGGGTCCCAGTCCTCTCTTTCTCCCACCCACCACGCATGCACGCGGGAGCACATTTATATCAGGATCAAATGAGATCGCTCACATGAAAGCACTTACACTTCTGAAATTTAAGGCATTGTGTGTGTGTGTGTGTGTGTGTATATATATAATATATATTAAGATTTTGTCATTACTGGGGCGCCTGGGTGGCTCAGTCGTTAAGCATCTGCCTTCGGCTCAGGTCATGATCCCAGGGTCCTGGGATCGAGCCCCACATCGGGCTCCCTGCTCGGCGGGAAGCCTGCTTCTCCCTCTCCCACTCCCCCTGCTTGTGTTCCCTCTCTCGCTGTGTCTCTCTCTGTCAAATAAATAAAATCTTAAAAAAAAAAAAAGATTTTGTCATTATTTTTTTAAAGTAATCTCTACCCCGAACGGGAGGCTTGAACTCTCCACCCCAAGATCAAACCCACAGAGCCAGCCCCGGCGCCCCATTGTTTTTTTAATTTAGCTTGACTCTTCAGGAAATTGGGGACCAGAAAAATGAACGGAATCTTGGATTTCACCCCCAGACCATTGTTCATTCTCTTACAACGTGAAACTCTACAGACCTCCTTCTTACTTGGGTTCTCCTTCACTGAATTCCTAATGCAAATATTGCTGGCCACTATCTTGATATTTAAACACTCACTGCCTGGCATTGGTAGTTTACCAGTTGGTGTTTGTCCTAGCTTATCTCCAGTCAGTCAGTTCTGTGTAGTTTTAAACTCTGGAGCCATAGGGCCGTCTGGCTTGCTCAGTCGGTAGAGCCTGTGACTCTTGATCTTGGGGTCATGAGTTTGAGCCCCACATTGGGTGATTACTAAATTTAGTAGATTACTAAAAATAAACAAACTTAAAAAAAAAAAAAACACGTCTTTGGTGGCATAAATTGAATAGTATTTATCTCCTGTTCTTAGCTCCATGCCAGGCCCCTAGCACACCCTTAATAAACTGCTGGAATGAATGCATTTCTACAAGAGTCAGTCTCTGGTCCTTGCAACCACTGAGGAGAAAACCCATCTCTAGATTTGGGGATCAGTGCCCTATGCACACAGCAAAGACTCTGCTCTTGCAAGTGGTTTTTTCTGTCCGGGCTCTTATCCCCTCCAGGCTGCAGAAGAACCTTACTTTCTGGCATTCTTATCCTTAATCTTTCCAACCTACGTCCATCCTTTTAAAGGCAGATAAAAACTCTAGGTGTGTATATTGCTGTGTGACAATTTAACCAAAAACTTAGTGGCTTAAATCTCAGTCAATCACTAGTATCTCATGGATTCTGCAGGTATAAATTCAGACAGTGGGACAGCTGGTCTCTGCTCCACAAATGCTTGGGCCCCCAGTTGGGAGCTGACTTGGGTGTTGGTGTAAATTCAGTGACTGAGGACTAAAACTATCGGCAGCAATCTTCACTCACGTATCTGGCAGGGGATGCTGGGACCTCGTCCGGGCTGGTGGCAGAACACCTCTCCATGTTCTGAGAACGACCATCCCAAGAGGACAAGACATCTATCATCTATCATCTTTTATGACCAACCGCTGGAAGTCATACAGCGTTACTTCCGTTGTCACAGGCCGACCCGGATTCAAGGCGAGGGGACACAGGGCCTGTGAATGGGAAGCATCCACACCACGTTGTGAAAGGAACATGTGGGATGGGACACCGTGAGTCCTCATCATCCTAAAACATTGCTTTAATGCTCCCCGTGACCTACAGAAAAAAAAATTCTGGCATTGAAGGCATCTTACAAATTGGCCTCAAATGCCTTTCCTCCTTTACTTCCTTTGTTGTCTCCTTCATTCTGATCAGGCTCAACTGCTCTGTCACCCAAACTAGTCAAACTCATTCTTCCTTCTGCCCTTCTCACCCAGTCGCTCTTCTGTCGACCTGAGATTCTGCCCCTCACGTAACTCTTAGTTATCACTTGCCTAATTCTGCAGAATGAACTAAGGCGGCAGGGATCCTCGGAGTTACACTTGGGCCTGAGGATGCACAGCGGCCCGTCGGGGTGGGGCCCTCTGCCATTTTGCCTGGCTCACCTCTTTGTATGCCGGGGAAGCAGGAATGACTGGGGAGGTCTCAAAATACAGCTCATTCCCAGACTACCTCTTCTTCAGAGTCCAGATCCCCCAGGAGTAATTTTTCACCCAACATGAAGAGGACAGAGTCCCTGCCCTCTAGGCCTCTCCGTGGAGGAGACTATGAGCACATGACTCCAGAGTAACCCAGATCTCGTCAACCTTGCAACCCAAGGCAACTTAAACCATGAACAGCAGGTGGTTGACAGAGGGACCGAAGCCACAGGGAAAAGGGTGGAGGGACGGACAGTGAACAGACACTGAACAGTGTCCGCCAAGCTAAATGCTGTGCGCTTTGCTAGTAGGTATGGCCCTAACTCGGGCGGGCCGATGAGGAAAGAGGCTGAGACCAGGCATGAGCTCTGTCCCCGTCGAGCCCCGTCCTGGCTCGGGGCTCACGGGGTGGGGGGGCTCGTGAGCCCCGTCCTGGCCTGAGCGGGGTTGGGGGGGCTCGTGGGCCCCGTCTTGGCTTGCTCTGTGTGTCCGCAGTAAGAGCGTAGGGCAGGTTCAAGAAGGGAGAGCCGGAGGCGGGACGCCGGCTCGTCTGATGAGCAGTTAACAGGCCCTCACGACTGCTAGTGGGACCTTCCACACGTGTGCTGGGAAGCAGCAGAGGAAGTGCCCGGGGGCCAGCACGGGTCACAGGGTCCGCGCGGGAGGACGGCGCGCTGGGCGGTGCCGGTCCCTCCCGGAGCACAGTGTCCTGGCCCGGGACCCTTCCGGCCCGAGGATGCGCGGCTGCCAGGGGCGGGGGGCTCCAGGCGCCAACCCCGCACACAACCCAGGCCGGCGGCTGACCGCACGGAACGAGAAGACAGAGTAACAGCAGCTCCCGCTCCGGTCGCCAGCTCCGGCCCCGCCCCCGGACTTCCGGGCCCGCGGCGGCCCCGCCCCCGTGCTCTGCGCAGGCGCGAGCGCCATATTGACAGCGAGTGCTCGGCAGTGGTCGTGGCTGCTAGTTTTCTTCCTCGAGGAAAGTTTCGGTTTAGGTCTCCACTCTTCCCTGTGTCGTGCAGGTAAGCCTTTGCCCCTGGGCGCCCGCGGAAGCTTGGCCGCCCTCCCTGCGGGCAGGGGTCGTGAGCGTCGCGGCAGAGTAGTCTCGGCCTGCAGCCGCCACCAAGGCACCGTAGGTGCCATGACTCTGCACCCGCTTCCTCGGCGACAGGCCGGCCGTCGTGGGGCTCGCCCGCGGGGGCGCGCGTCTGGGTCGGCTCGGGGGTCCGGCGTGCTCGTCAGGGCCGGGGCCGGGATCTGGGTCCGAGGCCGGGGTCCGGGTACGAGCTGGGATCTAGCGCGCACGTCGGGGCCGGGGCTGAGGTCCGAGCTTGGGTCTCGTGCTCTCATCGGATCTAGCGCGCACGTCGGGGCCGGGGCCAGGGCCGGGTCTGGAGTTCAAGCTTGGATCTAGCGCGCACGTCGGGGCCGGGGCTGAGGTCCGAGCTGGGATCTAGCGCTCTCGTCGGGGCCGGGGCTGGGGTTCGAGCTTGGGTCTCGCGCTCTCATCGGATCTAGTGCGCACGTCGGAGCCAGGGCCGGGTCTGGAGTTCAAGCTTGGATCTAGCGCGCACGTCGGGGCCAGGGCCGGGGCCGGGGCCGGGGTCCGAGCTGGGATCAAGCGCGCATGTCGGGGCCGGGGG